CTCTCTCTCTCTGTGTGTGTGCGCGCGCGAGCGCGCGCATGTATGTATACATATCTTCGTCTTCTCCTTCTCTTCCGCCTCCTCCGCCACTTCCTCCATCAATTTCTCTCCCTTCTCCTACATCTTCTTCTACTTATTATTATTATTATTATTATTATTATTATTATTATTATTGTTATTGTTATTGTTATTATTATTGCTATTGTTATTATTATTATTGTTGTTGTTGTTATTATTATTCTAACTCTTGCTACATCGGAGTCCGAGCAGGCAATTAACGGTACTTATAACGGCGGCGCAGAATAATTTCGCAGGACTCGGCACAAACACGGGCGGTTTCCTATTTCGAAACGTCATTGAATGCGCCAAAGTGAGGCTGTGTGCAAAGCCCTCGAGATTTACCGTGGAGAGTCTCTATTAGTAACAGTGAGGGAGGTCGGAAAAGGAGAGCGCAATAAAGGTAATTACTCAAAGTACGGAAAACACACACATTGTCTCTCCTGCCCTAAACTCGTCTCAATGGAAATGCAAAGCAACCTCGGTTTTATGACGTGGCTACTGCACCCACTCATCTTGCGCCCGGGTAGTGAGCCAGGTAAAGAAAAATAGTTTAGGCGGTTTTATTTATTTATAATGCTCGTTCTCCCGGACAGGAGTTTAAGTAGTTTACAATGATAATTATGCTTACAGTTTTTGAAGAAACTAATCAATTTGTCTGCTTACGTTTGTTGAATTGACTCATTTTAGGGGAAAATCAAAATGTGGGTCATTCATGCTAATTCCTGTTAATTACAACTTAAAAAAAAGAAAAAAAAAAAAAAAAACTTCTATTCTGAAGACAAAAACTTTATTAAAACGTCGGTGGGGTTCATTGCAATGGAAAATAATAGATGTGCAAAGTACGTAAATCAAATGTGAATCGGACTGATGAATCCGTTAGATATTTAAATTGTGTTCCTATGCGTAGTTGAGGAAAGCAAGGAAAATTACTTGAGATATTTATTTTAACCTTATTAAAACGATTATGAACGTTAACGATCATTTTCTTTCATTTTCTTATTTCCTACAATAACAATTTTCAATCAAGCACTCGAATGAAATAATGAATTATATAAAGAATTTACCGTTCTTAAATTAATATAATTGAATATAATTTTATTATTGTTTTAATAATATCATTATTAGAAACAAAGGACCAAAAATTCCATACTCTATTCAAAATCAAAATATAACAAATGTAAAATGTAAAAATGTGTTCCAATTACACTCACTGTACAATAAAATTGAATATATAATATAAATCTGGTGACTGAAATTCTTGAAATATATAGAAATTTTTAAATTAATTAAAACGTGCATATATTATTGATTATTATATATCATTAAACATTGTGCAAATTAATATTTTAAAGATTAATTTACATTTAAGCAGGTATTTAAATATAAGATAATTTGATAGATTTACATTTTGTATTCCATCGAAAATTGATGCAAGTAGATGGTAAAAAAAAAGAAAAAAAAAAAAAAAAAAAAAATTGGTGACATTTAATTATAACGACGCGAGGAGGTGATTTTGTAATTGTTACATTCGAATTTAAGAATATAATTAGAGGATTACAATTAAATAATAATAGGTTACAGCTATATTGAGATAAATCAAATAGGCTTTAATTTATCGAAAATACACGGGCACGCGCACGCGCACACACACACACACACACACATATATATATATTAACGTCGGTATAATAGGATAAGAGATTGATAAAAAAAAAGAAAAAGATAAGGATCAATTTGTTGTATAAGCTGACTATATCAATACGTTACGGATAATGTATATCTTTCGAGACTTACACATCTTAAGAATAATCAAATTATAGGCATTCCAAGAAAAAGATCCTCTTCATGTAATCTCGGAAACATCCTTGGGATACGTCGCTTGCAATAAAAATGTCAAACAAGACAATGAAACGACGAAGCCATAAGAGTGCAAATATAGCGCGGAAGAGATTTTCGACGGGTTGAATTGTACCTGGACCAACAAAAATTTGCATAGGAACGTAATAAAATAGTTTCGTTTCATGCTTAAAAATGCTGGGGAGGCTGTCACGAGTATAAGGATAATTTTTTTTCCAACAGCATTCTATCGATCTATTATCTATCGAAATTTGCGAGTATGCCAGTTTTGAAGACCATAAAATTGCGTTCCCATGTACACTTCGATCCTTGGCACGTGGATATTGTCGACCAAACGAAAATGTGCGTAAAAAATGTTGGCAGAAATTTAGATTTTCATATTTGACTCGGTTTTCTAACTTTGAATTACTTTGAATCACTTTAAAGTTTCAAACTGCTCAGTTAAAAAAGTACTTATGAAGTTTCGATTGCAGATACGCATAATACATTGGCAAACGATTAATGTTACATTGTCGAGTATTTAAAATCAATTGTACTTTGCATAATAAAATTTTCATTTAATATGTATTAAAGCATTTCGATTAGTTAGTTCATCGATTATATTCGGCTGATTGTTTAAATACGAGTTTAAATAATATATGAATAAAGAGACATTGGAATTGTCCTTAGGAAAAATCTGTAAACACTGAAATAATAATAAATCTTTTTCTTTAGTAAAGATACGATTGGGTCGATTGAAATTGTAATTAGTTATTACAATTCGTTATTAAAAGAATCGATGATGACGGTAATTCTAAAAGTGATTTATATGCATTATAGAGTGATTAGAATTTTGGCAAATGGCAAGTTTAATAAATTCTCATATTAAGAAATTTTTGCAAAGTTCTCAAAGAAATCGTGAACTCGAGGTTAATGACATATAAAAGAAAATTTTTCTTAACAATTTTATGCTCTATCACTTTTATGACAAATGAATTGAGAAAGTTTTAATTTAAATAATATCCATAGCCATTATACGACAAATCACGTATTCTTTCATATCATAGAACAAAGTTTATCAATAGCAATGCTACTCTGACACATAATTTATCCTTACATTCATAAAATATTTTTAAAATCAAGCATATGCTTGCATTTATCATTTATTTCTCGGCCAAAAACCTTAAGAAATTACTTCCATATGGAGGTAACGGATGGCTTTATTCCCCTCTCCTACTTTTTCTCTCTTCCACTCTTCGCGCACGTCAGCAAATGATGACCGCGTCATCTTCTTTCCTGTTTCGCAGCTTAAGATGATCTTACAGTTACTTAAGCTGGTTTTTAATTTACCTTTCACACCGACTGGAGAATGATAATATATTAATCTAACGTATCATGTAAAAAAAACTTTTTTTAAATACTTTATTTTAAAATGCGCATTAATTTTTTGCACAATCGTATTTATGATATTTATATATTAAGTTTTTTAAATAGTAAGTAAATTTTTTTTTTATTAAATTACAAGGGAGATTTAACGCATCAGCGCTTTTAATTGCGTGCGTTATAATAATTTTTTATCGACTCCATAATACATACCGTACATAGTGTTTACTATAAATTTTCCTTTATCGTTATTTCCTTGATTTTAATAATAATTCATTGCCAATGCAATAAATAATTTTGCATTGTATGAACTTTACAAAAAATTATGCCCTCATTTCATTTATTTGAATTATTTATCGAGGTGTTTGGTCACATGTCCCTTCAGACCGTAACAAATCGACGACGTACACATTTTATTTATTTTATTTCGTCGCGCTGCGGAATACGGTGGGATATATCAGCTGAATTTTAACCGAAGAATTGTCTGCTGCGCGCGAAAAAAAAAGGAGAAAAGAAGCCCGTCTTCCGCATTTAGGAAGAAAAAATGTAGAAATTATCTTTCCAAGTTTATTGTGCGGCAGCGTAGTCAATGAATTATATCTTTGCAGTTGTAGTAACATCACGGGGCTTTCACTTTACGAATAGAATCGAATTATCTCTTGTACACGCCTGAATTCTATAAAGTTCCTATGTATTCCCGAGTCATACAAAGTCCTGTATAAATTCCGTTTATTTAAGTAATATGAGAAGGAAAATTAAAATAACAATGCTTTGTACTTTATTTATTAATTTTCATTACTACTTTCATGATTTCACTAATCGACCTGTCGACTTTCTTTTATATTAATGTTAACCAAATATGCTCAATGAAAAAGCTTTAATAAGATGACTTTGAATTTTTTGAGATACAATTATTATTTTTTTTTTTTTTTGTATCTCTTTTACTTACAAGAAGATTTTCTCTTTACCAATGTCCGAAAGTTAAACATTTAAATTTATCTTGACCCGTGCCTCCATTAGTCAATTATAAAATTCTCAGTTAGACTTAGCGATAAGAAATCTAAAGAACTAATTATATTTATCAATAATGAAATAACAAAATGACAATACATTTCATCAAAAATTTGTTTCAGAAACACATTAATCTTTGAAAATTCTTAAAATAACGTTAGCATACAACGTTTCTTAAATTAGTTGATGAAATGGCAGCGCATTAGTAAAAGTCGAATTGCGTGACAAATTCGGTCCGTTACTTCAACATCTCCAACCGTTTACATTAAAATTGAATCTCAATCTAATCATCCGCTCAAAACATATGGTTGGGGACGTAAGATTTTGTTAAGAGACTGGATTGTGAAAATTTTGTTAATAAGCGATCGAATAGGCAACCCGAGGAATATTTCTCATCAAAATCAACTTAATCGTCGCGCTATCGACACGATCAATCGCGGCCACTAACAACGTAAAAAACAAGTTGATAGAGAGAGAGAGAGAGAGAGAGAGAGAGAGAGAGAGAGAGAGAGACCAAGAGGTGGCGGGGGGGCGGTGGACGAACAGTCTTGCAAGCATCACCGCGAGTCCAGCCATTCAAGGACACCGCCAAGTAAAAACAGCCGACAAAGTACCATAAGGCGTAAGCGGTCTCACGTAAAATAAGAATGTGCGATCGGCGCGAGGGCCAAGTTTGGTGCCGATTGCCGCTATCGGCGAATGTCACTGACCTTGAGTCGAACTTGGTGCCGTCGGCCAGGGTGCCTGTGTAATGCATCGTAAGCTGATCGCCCTTCTTAGACTTGAGCTCACAGACCTCTGGCACGTAGACCTTTTCGACCTTGAGGTCGGCCGCCTCGGCGACAAGGCCGAAGACGAGGCAGGAGCACGTCACGACGAGGAGCGCGTTACGAGTGGCGGCCATCATCGCCCTGGTCAGTTTTTGGTAAGAGGTTGAGCGGGTGGAAAAGGAGAGGTGCCGTGCGAGGGGATGGCTAGACGCGAATGCGTGCCGATGTGGAGGTTGCTGCTGAAGGGCAACGCTTGCCGGGAAGACGAAAGACTGCGTTGGCGGAGTGCCGGCGGACGACTGGCGGCGACGGAGCCGCGCCGCGACGCCGAGGGCCTCCGCCACTCTATCTCCATCTCGCTCGCGCGCGGCCACCGAGGAGGAGAGAAGTTATATGCGCCACATTGCGCCGTCTCATTGGCCCCCGCGCTCGGAATATGTAGGTCTCCGTCCCGATCGCTGTTCGCTCACCTTCCCCTCTTCGCCGCTACCCGACCGTCGCTCGCGCACTCCATCGCACGCACTCGATCCGTCTCTATCCCTCTCTCCTTCTCACTCGCACTCTGTCCCCGTGGACGTATACGTGGCTGTGTGCATGTCCGTCTTCCTTGGGCTCCAACTCTTTACTTTTGTCTTTTTACTCGTCGCTCGCTTTCTTGCCCAATCCCTTCTAACATTCTTCTTCTCCATTGCGTACTTTTCTTTTCTTCATCTTAGATGCCACTTTCTACCTGTTCTACCTCATCCTCCTCATCCTCCTCATCCTCCTCCTCCTCCTCCTCCTCCTCCTCCTCCTCCGCCCCCCTCGACATCTTTTTTGCTTCTTCTTGTTGTTGTTCTTCTTCTTCTTCTTCTTCCTCTACTTCTTCATCTTCTTCTTCTTTTTTCGATACACCACACATAGTATAACCTGTACGGATTGTATCACGTGACTTTTTTACGTGTACTTGCTATACAAGTCGCTAAAGGAGATCTTTGACTTATGTTGTTTTCTCGATTCGCTGTTTCATTGGAATCTGTAACTTCGTTCATTTTGTCTAATTATTGGATTTTCCATCGATAACATTGTATTTAAAATTATAAAATAAAGACGAATTATTGTTGGTAATAAAATTCATCGACGAATTGAAATTAAATAATAATCAATAAAAGCATTGCTTTCGGAAGCAAAAATGTCATTTTCAATTACGAAATTTTAATTTTAATTATAAAATCGTTTTGACATTCTCATAAATATATTGTCAAATACTTTTATCGATCCAAATATCAATTTTCAAATTATTCTTACATATTTTTTTTTTTTTTAATGAATTATCTCCTCTCTGAAAATATCGATAAAAAGTTAATTATATAATGTTCGTATATTTTCTCGATGTATTTTAAACATTTATAAAGCATTATAAATATATTTTATAAAAATGGCAGTCGACGTCTCTATTTTATGTATAATTTGAAAAATTCGCAAATCTCTTTTGAAATTATTTATATAGTTTTACATATATATTTTGTTAAAAACAAAATAATTTAATTTAAATAAGTATACATATTGAATACATAAGATATAAGCAATGACTTACAAATCAAAATTTTTATTTCCATCCAAATAATTACTATCCTTTTAATTTGGATAATTTACAAGCGAATTTTACGAATTCCATATTTATTCAACCAATAAGCAAATTAAATCTTAGCAAACTCTTATTTAAATTAAAAAGTACACTGTAACATTGATCATTGTAATAATAATATTAACACAATTATCAATCTTTTGTAAAATGATGTACATTTGAAAAAATTGCAAAATCTTTTGAAAATAAAATTTTACTGTAAAACACTAATAATATCGTTTTTACATAAAATGAAAATAAATGTATATTAATTAGATGTTTGTAATTAAAATAATTGGTGAAGTTGCTACTCATTTATCTATATTTGTTTTATTTCATTTGCTTAAAATTATATTTTTTAATTCCAACTTTTCTTCATCCTGTTCAATTCCTACCTTTTCTACCAGTTTTTGTTAGTGTTGATTTATTCTTATATCTTTCTCTCTTTTCACAGATGGCTGACGACACTAAGCGTGTTACTTACGCTGTTAAAAATTATATTCATGTTCAATGAAGTGTTTATCCGTGTAATTGTGCGTTTATCCGTCTGCACAATAACGATGAAACTTAAACTAAAGATATATTGTTAAATATGCTTATCTGTCATTGATATTTTAATTATGAAAATAGATCGGCATACATCAGAGAAAAAGAAAGATGAGAACACATAAAGCAGTTTTAAAATTTTTAATTTATAAATATAAAAATATCCGAAATTTAAATTATTATTTTGTAAAATTATCTTAAAGGAATTTTAAAATGGTAAAAGGTGCAATTTTATAACCTATGTTTAAATTGAATGTTATATTTAATTATTTGTTATCTATTAGTTGTTTGAAACATTTTAACAAGTTAATTTATTGGGTTAACATATTAATCTATCCTATTAAGAATAAAAAAGAGCGTGTTAAACCGTTATCATATTTCATATCATAAAATGCATGTACCCTGAGTTATTATCGGTTTATTTATAGTAAACTTTGTTTTAATATGTAGTAAATTTTCTAAATTTTTCACAATATGTAATAAATATATAAACAATTTATATAAAGTGTAATTTTTACGTACATATACTTAATTCTAATGTTTTAACACAGACATATATATATATATATATATATATATATATATATATATATATATATGTATATATATCTAATGAAAATTCAAATTTTTATTAATGATTGAAATAACTAGTTTATGCATTAATTTAATTTACTTAAAAAGAATAAAATTTTTATTCGAGTATATTTGAACGGAAAAGAAGCCATTTTTTGAAGTAAGATTTACTCTGTTTAATAATGCTAATTAATAAATATCATCTGTCATATAAAATTTAATGAAATATATTGGTAACGATAAACTATTATTGACCGAATGTGTAAATTTCCAATTGTTTTAATATATTGAAATAATATCTTTTTATACATAACACTATTACAGATTATGTTATTTTCGAATTAATTTCTACAAAATAATGATAATATAAACACATACGATTCCATTTTTTCTTTCTATACTTTATTCCAATAAATGAACAACTTTTTTTAATTTAATAATCAGTACTATATTTTTCAATATACAATGTATAAAATAATATTTACTATATAACAATTATCTGAATATACAACAAGTCAAGAATGTGTGTGCAAAATACTTTTATTTAATTATGTCATGTGACAATGATTTTTATTTACAATTGGATTATACAAATGAAAAAATATTTTCATACAATAAAAAAATATAAATTTCATTCATAAATTTGTACACGTTTCTTACATTAAATCGATGTGTTGAGTAAGCAATCTCAATAAAAATAAAAATAAAAAATATATGTGTAGTTAAAATAATGGAATACATTATAAAATATACGAATATTGTAAATGAAATGTATTAAAATGTATTAATCACGTGATGGATTTAAAAAGTTCAAACTATTTATTAACAATTTGTCTAAGTAATTCTGGTGATTTATTATAGAAAATGTAAATAACCAGTATATAAGGATAATTTATATTAAGTTTAAAGAAGATGGATGGCATGAACGTTAACTTACTCTCGAAGCTTTAAAAATAATTTTCTGTAATATATAAACAGCAGAAATAGTACATTCACGTCCATGTGTATGTTCTACATAAAATTTCTTCAGCATAATAAAAATATTCAATTATATATCAATTAAAATTTAAAAATTAAAAAATATATGTAGATACATATGTATCTGTATGTGTGTGTGTGTGTGTGTGTGTGTGTGTGTGCATGCGTGCGTGCGTGTGTGTGTGTGTGCATGCGTGCGTGCGTGTGCATGCGTGCGTGCGCGCGTGTGTGTGTAATTTATAAATATCATTCCTGTAAAAGTATACAGAATTTTTTTAATTGCACATCTTAGTACTCCGTTCTGTAATCAGCGTCTCAAAAACAAATTAAAGCTCAGAAATTTTGTAAATATCTAAAGACTTGAATAGGTTTATGTCTACCAAGTAAAAGTCTTGCATCAGGTATCGGATTTAAGAAGCATTAATTATATTTTAGTAATCCTATCGACAAAATTATTCATCGTGGTCCATCCAGCCCGAACACATATGGGCACACGTGTTCGGCTTTTAACTTCTTTTGTTCTTTTATCGATTCAAAGACAATGGTGACAAGGAATTGGCCGGCTTTGCTTTAATGTTCATGAAGATTTCATTCTTTAAATTCGAGTTTTCGGGTAAACACCAGTAAACATTGCAAGTAAGTAAATTGTTGGGCACAGGTGTTGACTTCGTTTTGCATATACATTTTCAGATATTTTATCGATTATTAGTTTGTAAACTATATTACTTATAAGAAATAATTATAATTATGTATATTTCTTTCTTTCGAATGTATTCAAATAAAACCGAATTCAATTATTACTTTAAAGTGTTTATTATTGTTTTTCATAATGTCTTATCGAATTTAATACTTTCATTAATTTAATTCAATCTTACACTAGTCTAGACATAAGGATTTCCTTAGCTCGCGGAATAATAAAATCCTCTCTATATTAACTAACGTACATGTTAATATTAAATTTTAAGTTTATAATATAATTTTGTAATATGAGAATATACATCTTCAATAAATAAAAATAATATATTCCTTTAATCTTTTAGCGTATAATGATCGTTATGGACTCATATATATGTACAAAATAATACATTATATTTACAGCAGGAATTGTATGACTTAAATTTAAAAATTTCTGTTAAATTTGAATAAAATTCCAAATAATATAATGATTATGAAAGTCGTTTGAATTTTTGTCGATTAATTCAAACTGGTTTTTTAAGCTTCGCATATTGTATTAATATTAATTCTATTACCTATTCTTTGGCGTTAATAAAAAATCTACCGGAAAATAAAATTTCAGTTTCGCAAATGAGAATGGTTGTTATATTGATGATACGTAAGGAAATTCTATTTGAATATCATTGTTATCAAGTGACGATATTTTTGAAGACAATGTGTTCTATTTATAATATTATTTATTAAAATATACTACGTACGCATAAATAGGTAGTACGTACGTACAGAATATGAATTTCTTTACGTCATAATTAAAATAATAGTGTCAAGCCTCGCGTAGTATCAATTGTTACACTCATATACTTGATATCGCTCATTTCAATGAATTCCACGTGTTCACTCCAATCTTTATTCTTATTGAGTCGAACGGAATGAGATTCAGA